TAAAAAATTGTCTCATTTAATACAGATTCATCAGGATTGAAATGTTCTGCATCTTCCACTAGAGCGGGAGGATATAGGTCGTCGTTCCATCGGTCTGAGTTTGGGACGGGTCCACACCTCACCATCTGCAGGGATACTGCCTTTTCCAAAGACCTTAACACAAGACTTCGCACACACAAGATTAAACAGCATCCACATAACACCAAACTGAACATTCCCACCAGAACTGCCCCCACCACTGTTGCCACAATCTGTTTCCATTTTCCAAACATATTATCAAAGCAACCAGTTAATGAGTTGTCAATGCCAGAGTTCTCAGCCAGTTCCTTTGCCAGTGTGGTGAGTCCCTGTAGGGCCTTAGTCACTGACCCATCAGGTGCTGTATTATTGGGGATGAAAGTACAGCACATAGATCCAAACAAAACACAAACCCCGCCCCATTCAGCCAAAAGCATATCCAAAGCCATCCTATTCTGCCATTAAACTAGTTGCCGCTGTTTGCTCAGCCAATCCCTTTATTGCATCACGAGTGTGATTAATAAACCTCTGTTGGTTATAGTAGATGTAGTTTATCCGATCCATATTCTTATTAATTGTTGACCACCAGAAAAGACTTGATTCAAAACCAGCTGCAATCTGATTCCTAGCTTTGAATTCTTCTGGAACCCCTCGAGGTACTCCTATCCCATCGATATACACCCTCTCATCAAAGGATCCTGGGAGGAGGTCTCGCCTTATACGTGACAACCCACCAGTTTTTGACATGTTGGATCGTTTGACGAGAGTGAAAGGCACTACCAGCTGGGCCAACGCACAGGTTCTGGTCCAAATCGCATGTAGATTAGGCCATAATCTGTTACCACCACCACACAACCACCAGATGTCAGCACGGGCCTGATTTTGGTTCCTAAAATCCTCTGGCTGCAACAAAGAGAAGAGATTGGTCATGGTCTCTTTAGTTGTGACATTCTCGATGTGGGAGCAGGAGCTAAGATGACCTACCCTGTATCCTATCTTATCAATCTTAGAAAAACTATAATAAGATTCCCCTGAGACTTCAAACGGAGGTAATCTAGGTCAGGGGGACTTCGTAACCGGGGTATACAGATAGTGCAAGTCAATACAAGACTCCTTTACCACATTCCCAGGTGACTTGAACAATTTAACCATGCAAGATAAACCTGACGGAGAGTTAAGGCCCGTCAAGGGGAACGGAGTAGTGGTCAATCTAGGTTTAGCTGTCCCACAGGCGTAACAGTCCTCTTGGGACATAGTTCTTGTTGTATACTGTATCCATTCCAACCATAGGTTCGGATCCCTATACCCAGTTTCCACCTCCACTACTTCCTTCAAATCTATAGTTTGCGCTATCTTCACCACAGCCCCAGTCTCACTCACCTCAGTTGAAGGAGATATTTCACTGGTCGGGACTGTAACATCCGCTGGGTTGATCTCTACCCAGAAAGCCACTAATGGATATTCACAGCATTTGTGGTCAAATCCAATATACCCTCATCAGTAGCCTTTACCTGTTTTAGCGTGATTCAGACTTTCAGACAGTACTTCCCCTTTCCCTACGTTAAGCTGCCTTCTCTGCCTGCTCTTACCTTCCTCGGGCCTGTCCTTACTGACTTGAGTTAGATTAACTACCACTTCTGGCTGGTCAGGTGGGTTTGGGTGTGCTAGGAGTATGGCCCCCATAATCAGACAGCTACCTACCGCCAGGAGACCTGTGAATCCCCACCCTCGCCCTGCGAACATGTCAGACGCCAGAGGCCAACCCATTGCTTTACCTTCTATCAAACTCACACAGGGATGATCAGACAGGGTAAGGGAATCTTCGTTAAGGAGCCAACCCTCGAGCTCTAGTGGTGATCGGTTCTTTCTCCTAACTCTGTGTTTGTTCGTCAGGTGTAGCTGGGTTTACCTTTTTGCAGTGTGTGACATGCACCCAGGTGGATCTTTCGGCGATTCTTACAGCGAAGGCCGTCACCAACAGGACCTGATATGGACCTTCCCAACGGGGTGGTTTCCAGTCTTTCTTCTTTAGGGATTGGATCCACACCCAGTCACCTGGTTGGATAGAGTGGGTTACCTTCTCCTTTAGTTCTCCTGTTGGGCACAAAATCTTTGACATACGTGTTTGGTTAATGAACAGTCTCCTCATATGTTCTGCTAGAGTGTCTTCTACTTCTATGTCTGTCTGTTCTAGTCTTCCTAGCTCGGTCATTCTATATGGGCTTCCAAAAACCTTTTCAAAGGGGGATAGTCCCTCTTTATCTGGGGTTATCCTAACCGTGATCAACACTATTGGTAGGCATTGTACCCAATTTCTTCCCTTCACTCCGTGATAACTCTATAAAATCAATTTCCGATTGCTGGACTGGATATTTTGCCAGGGGATATTCCCCCTGGGGTGCTCTCTCTACCTTGGTGATTATTCTGTGCACAGATGACACATCTGGAACAAAACATTTTTTTTTTTTGTAATTCGTTATTCCCTAGGCCACAAAGTGTTTCCTAAGTGTCTCCTAACCTGTTCCTGCTCTACCAAAGTAACCTGTTCCTGCTCTACCAAAGTTTATCCTAACCTGCTCTACCATCCCCCCTATTCACACATTGCTTTACCCATGTGTCAATATTTCCGCATATCAAAACAGTGACTTTAATACATTTAATAATTTATCCTTATGCCAGACATTATTTCGTAGAATTGCCCCTTTCTTTACAGTATGAAAATGTATGCACTCACCAACTGCAAGTCGCCCCGGATAAGAGCGCCTGCCAAATGGCCAAAATGCAAAATGTAATCAAGAACATAGGAAATATCTGTTTCCCCGTATATTGTTCCTGTCACCCTTCTTAATGTTATATTTCACTCATTTGCCAATATAAACCCTTACTTCGTATAAGTAAGCAGTGATATTTTATTCCAGGCATCTATTTTTTTTTTTAAATGATACGTTGTCTCCTACTGTCCCTTAACATATACTGTAGGAGATTTCCCTCCATCCTGGGAAAAACAAAAAACAAAAAAAACTCCCCCCTCAGAACATATCGGATAACTCAATTTTTCATTAAATTCACTAAAGCTATAAATAACAAACCCATAACCACCTTCCAGTAATCTACTGATTTAAACCTGTTGCATTAATTTATTAAAATATAAACCTATTGTTTAATAAATCCAGAACCTTCGAAAAATGTTTACTACGCCATCAGCCTAATAGTAAAAATGATCTCCCATTGTTCAACGTGAACTGTCTGCATAACTCACTGTTGTATAAAAAAACTATTCAGACTTCCGCTTCACATTATCCTCTGCTTCGTTTACTAAATCCTGGCATTAGTAATTTCTATCCACACACCACCAAAAACAAATAGCGAATTTGCATACACATAACTAGAAAGCATGAATTTAATACCATTCTGCCACTAGAGGGCGGTCTCCCTCCACCTGACCCTGCTTACAGATTGACACAAAGGATGGCCTATCAGTGTCTTTCTATTCAACTCGTTTCCACCAATAACAAAAGACACACAAGCCAGAATAGCCAAAAGCCACTTTATTAATGAAACAACCTTAAAGTGACTGGACCAGGGGTATGAAGGGGTAGTACAACTCAGTACACTGGCAGTATGGTCTCTAAAAGTGGAACGTATTCTAGCAGTGTTGCTTAACTCCTGTCATGGGTCCCCCTAGTACAGGGGTATTCAACTCTTACCCTACGAGGTCCAGAGCCTGCTGGTTTTCTGTTCTACCTGAATTAGTTGCAGCCACCTGGTGTCCCAGGTCTAAATCAGTCCCTGATTAGAGGGCAACAATAAAAAATTGCAGTAGAACTGGCTTCGAGGTCCAGAGTTGAGTCTGAGGGCCCTAAGGGTTGCACAATTGTTTACTTTAGTCCAGCACTACAGTAGCACACCTGCTGCAACTATCAACAAGCTCTTGAGCAGTTGCATCAAGTGTGTTAGTGCTGGGCTATAACAAAAATGTGCAACAGGGGGGTGAGGGGATGCAGGACTACACTCCCGGAGAGTTGAGTAACACTATTAGAGCGTTGGTATTGCTGCAGCGACCTGGGCAATGTAACACTACCATAGACACCTATAGGTTACACTCAGTAACCACTGAAACATTAGGGGGATTCTTCCTAGAGGTTGAGTTAGCTCATCCTGCTGGCAACACCAGGGTCATTGTGGGTTCACCTCTCAGCCCACATATTACATCAGTCATTTGGGGATGAGACTTGAAAGTGTCCAATTACCACATTTAGAATACTTCCAACCAATAAAACAGCATTTTTTCACTCAAAGTGTTGGTCTGAAACATTTCAGTGTGTTTAAATACCTGTTTTTGTCCCCCGATTCCCTTGTCTAACACTTCAGATATCTGTGGACTGAAATATTTAAAACGTTGCAGATTGAAATACGTATAGAATGAACGCTGTTTCGAGCTCTACATAAGAGAATCATCACGTTTTCTCTGACACGTTCTATTTCAACCTCTTGCAAAAAAGTCCCTGTCTTCAGCTATTAAGAATGTAAAAAGCTAGAGATATTCCCCAATTAAACATTACTCATTTGCAAAGGCCAATTGAGTTTTGCGATCCTTCAGCTCAAATTCTTGACCACTAAATCATGATGCCACTTAGCATGAAGCTATTGGGCATGCACTAAGGAGTATGCTAGCATGGACATTGGAACACAGCCAGAATCTGTATCTGAAATAATACCACACGACGGACATCAAAATGGAGTCTGGCGATCAGAATTCACAATAAACATGTTCATGTACACAACTTTACAGTATAAACGGAACTCAAGCTAGTAGGACACTGAACTGAACAGCTAGCCTAAATAATTGGACATGATCCTATAGAAATGGCAACAGTATAAGGCCATGTTTCCACAGGCAGCCTAATTCTGATATTTTCCCACTAACTGGTCTTTTGACCAATCAGATCAGCTCTTTTGCCAATAATTGGGCAAAAGATCAGAATTGGGCTGCCTGTGTAAACGCTGCCTAATGACACAATAGAGAGCGGTGGCCTTCGACTTTCAGTGATTGGATAAAAATATATATATACAGAAAACGAGAGATTGGTGAGGCTAGTGAGGACCAAAATACCTTCTCTGTTACAACCCTGCGGAGGCGTTTAACAGACAGTAACAGAGATAGCCACTTCTGTGTGTAAATATTGAAGAGAAAACTAACTTGGAATGCATGAATAGCTAGCCTACACTGGCTTCTTACAATGCAGAACACATGTTGGCAAAGACCAAAATTGCTTTTTTTCCCCCCCCCATGGTGAAAAAAGAAACAAGATGATCATTTGGAATGTGTAGCTATGTGACTTGGGCCATTAATTAATCAATGAATGAATTACCTCCCTAAGAGACGTTTACCACTAGGGGCAGTAAAGTGACGTTCATATTTAAACCAACCGAAGACATCCCAAATATGGTGGCTTTAAACCCAGTCTATAAATCCCCTCAACGCTACAACATCTAGTTTCTTGTTACAACTGTCAAAAAACAACATGGATAAACTGAAGTCACAATACTAATGGAGCAGCCAATGACAAGCAACAGGAAGTGAAGTTTCCGTTACTACAGCGACGACACTAATGACAGAAAGTGGAACTTGATGCGTTCACCATTCCGGATCCACTGTCAATACGAGAGGTGACGTCTCCCATGTCGTAAAGGAACTGCTGTGTGTGAAGGGGTTATAGGGCTATGTGCAGTGTGTGTGGTGTTATAGAATGGTGCAACGTCTCTGAGTGCTTTTCTTGCTCTTCTTGTTGCTGCGGTTGGTTTCCTTATACCTCCTGATCTCCCTGACTAGAGAGTAGAACGCCTCCTCCACTCCCTGGAAGACAGAATGAAAGAATGGAGAAAGTTTACACTCACATGTAGAGTGATTGAATGCAGCTGGGTCGCCTTCAGTACTCAAAAACAGAGCAAATGTTCAGAGTAGAATAGGATAGTGCTACCTGAATGTATCCAATAACAAAAGTTATCCCATTTGTGCCCTCATAGATACTGTCATGACTGCAGTGTACAAATGTGTCATGTTACCCAATACCTTTGGTGAGTCAGTTGAAGAGTTTATTCAAATCATTTACACAAAACACACATTAGCCTTTAAGACATAGGAGTCTGTCAGGACAACACAGGGGCTATAGGACATCACAGGGGGCTCTAGGAGTCTGTCAGGACAACACAGGGGGCTCTAGGAGTCTGTCAGGACAACACAGGGGGCTCTAGGAGTCTGTCAGGACAACACAGGGGGCTCTAGGAGTCTGTCAGGACAACACAGGGGGCTCTAGGAGTCTGTCAGGACAACACAGGGGGCTCTAGGAGTCTGTCAGGACAACACAGGGGGCTCTAGGAGTCTGTCAGGACAACACAGGGGGCTCTAGGAGTCTGTCAGGACAACACAGGGGGCTCTAGGAGTCTGTCAGGACAACACAGGGGGCCATCTCAATGGTCTAGCATCTCCTCTTCCCTCCCTTGTCCAGTTTGAGGCCCAACAGACCTGCTACATGGACCTATCATTTCTGCAGAGTGAGAGAAGTAGGAGTAGAGAGAGAGGCTAGCGCTGCTCAGTGTACATTTACACTCTGGTTCCATTTTCAAGATTCCCACCTGTGAACATTTGATAAAGTGGTTCAAGTGCTGCTCAAAGGTTATGCTTCCAGTGTAGCTGGTACATTCCTACTACACCCCTGTGTAGTTCCCCTGGCTGTAAAACCCACCTGTCTGGTTTTGGCGGAGGTCTCCACGAAAGGCACACCGTAGCCGCGGGCCAGCTCCTGGGCCTGCCTGCTCTCCACGCTGCGACTCCCCAGGTCACTCTTGTTCCCCACCAGCACCATAGGCACACTGTCACTGTCCTTCACTCTGTTGATCTGTTCTCTGTGGAGGGGGGGGAGAGGGAGAAAAAAGGAGGGAGAAGTGGAAAGGAAGAATAGGACAGAGAGAGAGAGTCATGTGTCAAACAAATGGACATGAAATAAACATCTAAATCTACTTTCAATTCCAAAGCCTCATCTCCGTTGTAAATTAGGTGACAACAGTTCTTCCATGTACGCCCGGCCGGACGGGAACCGACATGGTTCAAATGATCAGAAATAGTTTACTCCAAACGGAAACCGCTTTGCAACAAAAACTAGAGTTTCTATTGGACAAATTCAAGTAGGTCCCTCCCCGTTTTGTTCTGTTTGCTTCCTAGAGTAAACGGTTTCCATTACAAAACGTTTCGCAAACAGGCCAAACATTTCACTACGGTCTGTGACTAATGAACACACTCCAGGTGTAGGACAGCAGTCACTGTGACAGACAGTCAGTACCTGTACAGGTGAACGTCCTCAAAGGACTTGATGTTGTTGATGGCGAACACACAGAGGAAGCCCTCCCCTGTCCTCATGTACTGGTCCCTCATGGCGCTGTACTCCTCCTGACCTGCTGTGTCCAGGATGTCCAGCAGACACGTCTCTCCGTCAATCACCACCTGCTTCCTGTACGAGTCCTAGGTTGAACGTAACAAAGCTTAACACCGGGATTCTAATATCCCATAACTCTTTGCATAAATGAGGAAGAATTCGAAACAATGAGAGCAGCGATGCTATTACGCAATGCTGGTCCCATCAGTTTGTTTATTTTCAAAAGCTTGTCCTAACCTGGGTATCTTCAACCTAGTACAAGTCCTAAAATAGGGGTGTGTTCATTAGGCACCAAACGGAAGGAAACGGGCTGAAACAGGGAGGGACTACCTGGACTTGTCCAATGAGAAAACGTGTATTTTTGTTTTCCATTGCAAAACTGTCTTTTTTTTCTGTTTTCTGTTGCATGCCCTAATGCAGTGGTTCCCAACTCTGGTCGTCGAGTACACCCAACAGCACACATTTTTCTTGTAGCCCTGGACAAACTCACCTGATTCAACTCATTGAGGGCCTGATGATTAGTTGACAAGTTGAATCAGGTGTGCTTGTCCGGGGGCTACAATAAAAATGTGTACTGTTGGGGGTACTCGAAGACTGGAGTTGGGAACCGCTGCCCTAATGAACATGACCCAGGTCGGGGGACTTGTCAGTCACAAAGGCAACAGGTGCTAATTTCAAATAGACTCCTACCACTGACCCATAGGTACTGGTGTGAATCTGAATGGATTGGAAAGCATGATCATAACAACACGCTTGGAAAGTAATCATCACTCCCCCTTTGCCACCCTCATAGCTTACGGATCCACTCTGTAAATTATTGGAACCATTTTGCTAGAGGCAACATTTATCCTAACGTAAATATTTTACCATCAGGAGATTGTGGATAGATACTTATAGAATAGAATCTACATAGACTCTATATGCAAGTTGCATATAGTGGGTTGTTACATTTGAAGCAGGCGATTTCAATCGAATTAGCCTACTATTAAAGGGCAACTTCACAACTTTCTAACCTCATATTCATTATCTCCAGCACCAAACCAGTGTCTACTTATGCGGAAAACAGCACATTTCTACGAAAAAAAGAAAGATAAGACCCAATGACATCAAAAGTTTTTTTTAAACATTGATTTGAGCAACAAAAATAACATCCTTTTTTTAGGAACCCTTCTTATCCTTTTTAACTACAGATCATAGAAACGTGCTGTTTTCCACATATGTAGACACTGGTTTGGGGTTGGAGATATGAGGTTGCCCTTTAAGATTCACACATACAGACAAACACCTGCAATTCACCTCGATGGTGGGGTCGTATTCATCCACAAAGTGATTCTGGATGAGTTGGATAGTTAAGGCACTCTTCCCCACACCTCCAGCACCCACCACAACAAGCTTATACTCAGTCATGCCTAGAGAGAGAGGGGGAGAACGAGAGAAACACTTCAGTATGTTTCCTTTAAAGCTTCACATAGAAATGTGCGTTATAGATCTGTCATTCTCATTGAAAGCAAGTCTAAGTGATAGATATGTTCTATGTAAGCTATTTCTATGCTTCCCGTTCTTTAGTTGTGTTACTTACTTTCGGTTTTGTACACCAACTTCAAAACAGCTGAAAATACAATTTTTTTTTGTTATGGAAAATAGATTTCACCGTGGTTTAGATGGTACAATGATTCTCTAGACTATATATGCTTGTTTTGTCACAAACTGAAATTAGGCAAACTATTAGAATTTTAGCAACCAGGAAATGGCGGAACGATTTCTGCATATTGCATCTTTAAATCCATTGCAAAAATTCTAAACAGTTCGCCTAATTTCACTTTATGTGACAAACCAAGCATGTATAGTCTAGAGAATCATTGTACCATCTAAACCACTGTGAAATCTCTTTTCCATAACCAAAAATATTGTATTTTCAGCTGTTTGAAGCTGGTGTACAAAAACGAAAGTAAGACGCAAAAACGAAACTTAAAACAGGAAACATAGAAATAGCGCACATAGAACAGATCTACCGCTTCTTAGACTTGCTTTCAATGAGAATGACAGATCTATTACTCATATTTCTATGTACATTGTTGGGTCACCCAAAAAGCTACATATTGCAGCTTTAAAATGTTGAATCCATAACCTTTAAAATTATTTAATTGGTTGATTTAAGTACTAGTTGATTGATTCCTTGTAAAGAAGTTCTGCTGTGTCATTGTGTCTCGTTGTGTGTGTGCGCGCGCATGTCAAATTTTGACTTGACTGTATGGTTCATTGTAGCAACCTTAACCCAACGACCTCAGAGATTCGGACCTCTTGGCGTAACGATTAAGGCGTTGGGCGTGACAGTCGCTGGACCCAGGTTCGAGTCCTGGTCGGGGCTACCCCCTCGAATTCGCTACATTGGTGTCGGATGGGGGATGGCGCCTGTGAGGCCATCGGAGAGGGGTGTACACGTGAGGGACTTGGTATAGAGAAGCGTGGGGACACACTCTCCCAAAGGAAGTGGGACCTTAACCAAACCTCACCAAGAGATTCTGACCTCTTGGCATAACGGTTAAGGTGTTGGCTTGACAGTCTCTGGATCCGGGTTCGAGTCCCGGTCAGGGCTAGTCCCCGAATTCACAACAATATGATACATTAACTCATTTCTGAACCAAACAAGTCCTACATTTTAGGCAAACTATATAATTTTTGCTCAGGTGTGAGGTCTTTCTTTCCAATTAGGTAAATTCTAGACAATATTTATGTACCCCTTTTGACTGAAGAGCACCCCCAAAGGCAAACACTCTGTATACTCTTTCAATTGAAAACAAAGCATCAGTAAGCTTATAAATAAACCTCAACTGCAAAGGCAGAGCCCAAGCCAAAGAAGGAGAAGGCAGCACCTAAGCCCAAGAAGGCTGAGGAGGTGAAGAAGGCTGAGCCTGAGGAGAAGGAAGTGACCACAGAGAATGGAGAAGCCAAAGCTGAGGAAGAGGCACCAGAAGAAGAAACTGAACAGAAAGAGGAGGCGGCCGAATAACATCTCTCAAACCACATATTTTATCAGTGCTCCCTGTACCTCTTTTTCTTGTACAATTCAGGGGTATATTTTTATTGACCATTTTCTAAATGCAGGTTTTTTAGTAGTTTGATTGAAGAAACACATTTTTTTATGAAACAAAAATTACATTTGGAGATGGGGATTTCATCGCATTCCATCTCCGGAAACAATTACGTCAACGGTTTTTATTTTTGCTGGGAGGGATGGGGTGGGAATGGGACAGGTTGCTGCACCAAGAACATGCAAGCACGTCGTTTACAGGATCCGTCCCTCATATAGCCTATGGAATGTTAGTCTCTCAGGCAAGCTGCATGACAACATGGTTGTTTTATGAGGGACGGTATACAGTGGGGAGAACAAGTATTTGATACACTGCTGATTTTGCAGGTTTTCCTACTTACAAAGCATGTAGAGGTCTGTAATTTTTATCATAGGTACACTTCAACTGTGAGAGACAGAATCTAAAACAAAAATCCATAAAATCACATTGTATGATTTTTAAGTAATTAATTTGCATTTTATTGCATGACATAAGTATTTGATCACCTACCAACCAGTAAGAATTCCGGCTCTCACAGACCTGTTAGTTTTTCTTTAAGAAGCCCTCCTGTTCTCCAGTCATTACCTGTATTAACTGCACCTGTTTGAACTCGTTACCTGTATAAAAGACACCTGTCCACACACTCAATCAAACAGACTCCAACCTCTCCACAATGGCCAAGACCAGAGAGCTGTGTAAGGACATCAGGGATAAAATTGTAGACCTGCACAAGGCTGGGATGGGCTACAGGACAATAGGCAAGCAGCTTGGTGAGAAGGCAACAACTGTTGGCGCAATTATTAGAAAATGGAAGAAGTTCAAGATGACGGTCAATCACCCTCGGTCTGGGGCTCCATGCAAGATCTCACCTCGTGGGGCATCAATGATCATGAGGAAGGTGAGGGATCAGCCCAGAACTACACGGCAGGACCTGGTCAATGACCTGAAGAGAGCTGGGACCACAGTCTCAAAGAAAACCATTAGTAACACACTACGCCGTCATGGATTAAAATCCTGCAGCGCACGCAAGGTCCCCCTGCTCAAGCCAGCACATGTCCAGGCCCTTTGAAGTTTGCCAATGACCATCTGGATGATCCAGAGGAGGAATGGGAGACGGTCATGTGGTCTGATGAGACAAATCGAGCTTTTTGGTCTAAACTCCACTCGCCGTGTTTGGAGGAAGAAGAAGGATGAGTACAACCCCAAGAACACCATCCCAACCGTGAAGCATGGAGGTGGAAACATCATTCTTTGGGGATGCTTTTCTACAAAGGGGACAGGACGACTGCACCGTATTGAGGGGAGGATGGATGGGGCCATGTATCGCGAGATCTTGGCCAACAACCTCCTTCCCTCAGTAAGAGCATTGAAGATGGGTCGTGGCTGGGTCTTCCAGCATGACAACGACCCGAAACACACAGCCAGGGCAACTAAGGAGTGGCTCCGTAAGAAGCATCACAGGGTCCTGGAGTGGCCTAGCCAGTCTCCAGACCTGAACCCAATAGAAAATATTTGGAGGGAGCTGAAAGTCTGTATTGCCCAGCGACAGCCCCGAAACCTGAAGGATCTGGAGAAGGTCTGTATGGAGGAGTGGGCCAAAATCCCTGCTGCAGTGTGTGCAAACCTGGTCAAGACCTACAGGAAACGTATGATCTCTGTAATTGCAAACAAAGGTTTCTGTACCAAATATTAAGTTCTACTTTTCTGATGTTTCAAATACTTATGTCATGCAATAAAATGCAAATTAATTACTTAAAAATCATACAATGTGATTTTCTGGATTTTTGTTTTAGATTCCGTCTCTCACAGTTGAAGTGTACCTATGATAAAAAATTTCAGACCTCTACATGCTTTGTAAGTAGGAAAACCTGCAAAATCGGCAGTGTATCAAATACTTGTTCTCCCCACTGTATGTATTGTGTGGTGGATGAATTACTCAAGGGGGAACACATTGTTTATAATGAGGAAAACATTTTAGAATGTTAACTCTTGTACTCATTACATTTTTCTTAACCATTCTGCTTAATAAATCTATTCCCTAGTACTGGAGTTTCTCCCTATCAGGCCTGTGCATTGGGTGTAATTGGTTTTGTGTCTGTTCTTGTGCTGTTGTCTGTGTCCAATAATGTTTGTACCATGTTTTGTGCTGCTACCATGCTGTGTTGTCATGTGTTGCTGCCATGCTATGTTGTCGTTTTAGGTCTCTCTTTATGTAGTGTTGTCTCTCTTGTCGTGATGTGTTTTGTCCTATATTTTTAATCCCAGCCCCCGTCCCCGCAGGCCTTTTGCCTTTTGGTAGGCAGTCATTGTAAATAAGAATTTGTTCTTAACTGACTTGCCTAGTTAAATAAAGGTTCAATAAAAATTAAAGTAAGGTGAGTAACACGACAAAGGCACAAGGAAACCTGTGGTATCGACAGTATAGCCAACAGCAAATTCACATAATCTGCCCTTTTCAGTGATTTGGAATAGCCTACTAACAGACAGCCTATGGCCCGGAGAATTGTCTGATCATTGCATGTTATCAATCTTTATTCGCGGTCATTACAAAAACATGCCGGTATCTACTAGCAAAGAGGCTGGCTCTAGTTTGACCCAGATTTGATGGGAGCTAACGTTAGATAGCATAGCATAACTAACAGACAGCGGTTGATGGCACACTAGGCAGAATACGATCACTGCATTTATCCGATAATAATGTAGTCCTATTGCATGAAGAAAATTACAAAATCAGAGCGCTTACCTTAATTTAGTTGGTCGTTTTCCCCCAAACAAAAATGCAGCGTTTGAATGACAAAATGAGATTAGTGCTACATAGCCTGAAACAACTTCCTGATTGAAGTCAGCTAAGAAAATATATAGTATTTTAGAAGCTGCAATTGAGCCAGAAATGTCAAACCACTGTTCGCAATGAACGGGAAATATAGGCTGAATATAACCTGAATTAATTTAAAGGTAAGAATTAGTAGTAGGGGAGTAAATCTCTATAGACTCCATTGTGGTTGAAAATGGGCAGGGCTTTCACGGCAAACGCAATCAATCGTATTGATTTAACAGCGAATACCATTGTGGTAAAGTAGACAGAGGGTAGAGTAACCCAATCAGAATGGCTCTTGCGTTCTACTTCCGGTTATTACCCGCCTTCAAATCAGAAACTCACCAATCAGGAACCGACTGAAAGCCTCATTGGTCGTGTCCGAAAAATAAATCGCGTCCTTCCTGACGCCATGATAGTCCCGCCTTTGTACGCTGATTCACCAATCAAAGACATTGCTGCTGTGACGTCTGGAAAGAGCGCAATCGAGTCTGATTGGCTCGAGTATTTGGGTTGTCGGA